CGGTAAAACTTTCAATCTGATCTGGAGTTCAATTGTCCTTGATGAATGGGTTAGGCAAATCTGTTTGTCAACAGAACTTGGAAGCTTTCCAAAAAGGTAACTTGGTGTTCGGTAGAGGAAGAAGTTCAACACCCTCTACTACAATCACAGGCCCAAAGTTTGCAACGGGAGTGGTGAATGTAGTTGAAGATTCATCTGCTCGGTTGTGGCACAACGATTGGTCATTTGAGTGAGAAGCGAATGGAGACTCTCAACTAAGCAAGAAAATGCTAATCTTGAAAGGTTATTGGCCTCTGAAAATATGCACTGATTTGGTTTATCTGGTAAACCAACATTGAGTTTCCTCTCAAAGATCCCCTTCTCCTTCTAGAAGCCTGGTATGTCTAGAATTGGTAACACACTGATGTTTACTCAAATGGGTGGACAAATCTTGAGTGGTTTGTTCATATTACATCAGCTTTATTGATGACCATTCTACGAAGGTTGTGGGCTTTTTACCAATAAAGTCCTAAAGACCAAAGTGCTGGATATGTTTAAAGTCTTTCATGGTCAGTGTTGAAAAGACAAATGGGGTAAGAAGCTAAAATGGTGTTAGAGCTGATAATGGTGGTGAGGATCAGAAGGACCATTTGAGAAGTATTGCTCAGAACACGGCATCAGACATCAGAAGGAGCAGTTCCCAAAACTCCACAACAAAATGGGAGTTGCAAAGAGAATGAACAGGACCATTGTTGAAAGGGTTTAGATGAATGCCTCCTCATGGCTAAACTTCCTAAAACCTTTTGGGATGAAGCAAATGAATATGCAGTTTACTTGATTCACAACACCTTTCCACCTTCAACCTCCCTCGAACGGACGAATGTACCAGAAAAACGTGGTGGTTAGGGAAAAATATTTCTTTACGATCATCTTAGAATATTATGGCTTCAGGGCTTTTGTTCATATTGCCAGAAAGATGCAAAGATCCAAGCTTGATTCGAAGTCAAAACAGTGTATCTCTTGGGTTTATGGAAATGAGGATTTTGGGTAGCAGATTATGGGATCAGTTTGAAAAGTAAGCTTCATTAGAAGTGCAGAGATGGTCGTATTCCCTGCGGAAGACCAAACCATTGAAGACTTTGAGAAAAAATAAGCCAAAGTCTATCAATGGGTTTTCCTGTTAGTCTTTGAATGCAAACCTCATGTAGAACCAACAGAACGATGAGAGAATATGGCGAACCTGTTTCAGAATGATGTATGAAAACCGCTCCAATAGAAGAACTGCCTCATTTGAGAAGATCTCGAGAGCAAGGATACCTTTCCCAGAGATATTTCTCCCAAATGAGTACTGACTTGTGTGACTCAGGGGGAGAACCAGAGAACTACTTAAGAGGAAATGGATAGATTGTAAAAGAATAATGGTCGGAAAGCCCCTGCAAGATGAAAGAATGGAGTCCTTGCAATGAGAACCAGACTTATGATTGGTGAACTGCCTCAAGGTAAGAAGAGCACTGAATGAACAAATGGGTGTTCAGGTTGAGACTGAACAGAAACAACTCAACAGTCGAGGTTACAAGGCAAAGATGTGGTTGTGAAGGGATTCGTCAAAAGAAAGAAGTTGAAAACTTTGAAGAATTTTCTCACATGTGGTCAAGTGTCTTCTATCAGAATGTTGTGTTCGTTAGCAGCTAGCTTGAATTTGGAGATCCGAGCAACTTTGATGTAAAGACCGCTTCCTCCATGGTGGACTAGAGGGAGGAAATTTATAACGGGCAGCCAGAAGGGGTTTTCAGAGTCAAGGCAAAGAACACTTGTGTGTAAACTGCAGAAAGAGCTTGTATGGCCGTCAACACAAGGCTCCCAGAAGTGGTACAAAAAGTTTTGACTCTTTCATGGTAAATCAATGGGTCATGAGATCATGGTAAATCATGGGTATGAGAAAACTATTTCTAACCATTATGTGTTTGTAAAAAGTTTCGAAGATGGTGACTTTATCATTATCTTGTTATATGTGGATGATATGCTAATTGTCGCCATGATGCTAAGAAAATTGAGAGCTTGAAAAAGGAGCTTGAAAAATCCTTTGCCATGAAGGATTTGGGATCGGCAAAACAGATTCTCAGAATGAAGATCTCTAGAGACAGGAAACAAAGAAAGTTGTGGTTATCTCAAACGAAGTACATAGAGAAAATTCTCAGCAGATTCAACATGAGCAATGTGAAACTAGTTTGTACTCCACTTGCAGGTCATTTCAAATTAAGTCTCAGTCCATGTCCTTCAAGTGAGAAAGAAAAAGAAGAACTGAAGAAGATTCCTTATGCATCTGCCGTTGGTAGCTTGATGTACGCCATGGTATCCACAAGACCGGATATTGCTCATGCTGTTGGTGTTGTTAGCCGATTTCTTTCAAATCCAGGTAAAGAACACTAGAATGCAGTGAAGTGGATTCTCAGGTATCTTAGGAGCACTTCCAAAATCTGCTTATGTTTTGGTGATAATAGACCTATGTTAGATGGTTATACAGATGTAGATATGGGTGGTGATGTTGATTCACGCAAATCAACTTGGGCAATCTGGATGACCTTTGAGAGCAGCAGTTTCTTGGCAATCAAAATTTGCAAAAATTTGCGTTGCAACTCTCATCCACTGTCGGGGTAGTCAAAGCGCATACATCTCAGCAGAATTCGACCTTTCATCCAGGTCAAAGCACATTGATTGTAAGGTAATATTGGATACGTGATGCGCCTGGAGATTTAGAAGTTATTTTTAGATTGAAAAAGATTCACACTGATAATTAATGGCGCTGATTGATGACTAAAGCTGTTACCTACGAAAAGAGCTTGTTCACTTACAGATAGATAGCCGGTAGATGCGCTGGAGATGAAGTTATTTTAGATTGAAAAGATTCACACTGATAATAATGGCGCTGATATGATGACTAAAGCTTTACCTACGAAGAAGCTTGTCACTTACAGATAGATAGCCGGTATGGCTAACGTCCCCACTTGAGTGTGCAGGGGGAGATTTTTCGTGGCGGTGACCACTCAATGGGACCCACATTTAAAATAAATAAATAAAAAGGGAGAAGAAAAGAAAATGTGGTAGGTCCCTCCGACATGTGGGACCCACACAACTTGAAAATAAAAGAAGAGAAGAAAATTCTTTCAGTGGATCTCACTTTATTTTCACGCGTCCACTTCTCCTATAAATAGTAGTTAATTTAGTTCATCAACACACAAGTAGAGTAAAAGAAAGAAAAGACATTTAGAGAGTTATAGTTTTAGAAAGGGTTGTAAAACTAGGGTAGAGAAAATAGTGAAGATAATTTGGGGTATTTTTTGGGAAACACTTTTGAGTGCCACTATTTCTGTATTACTCTCTTTGTTAGCCTTTTTTTTTTCCGCTGTGTTATTATTCTCGTAATTTTATTGCCGGGGTCCTAACAAATTTTTCGTTCACTATTAAATCATTATTGTAATTTTTTGGGGCATCTTGCCATTAATTTAATGATTGCAAAATTTAGTTACATTAATTGTTTTTTAACTGTTAGTCCTTTTTATTGATATTTTTGAGAGGATTTCAATGATTTTTTAAAGTACTTTTAGCAATGTATACAAAATAAGAAAACTCATTCATATGGTCAAACTAATATCTCTAAAGTTTCATTAACCAATATTTAAATTTTCATTACATGGCAAGAGGGATATTTTGCTGCCAATTAGTTAATTTTACTACTAGAATAACATCCCCAAAATCCAACCCCATCCAACCCACAAAAATAATCCTCATGTTAATTTAATCTTGATCCCAACATGTAGCTACATAGCACCAACACAACTACTAGGGAAGCTCTAAGAAGCTTACAAATCCATAAAGCTTTCTTCCTTGCATCATCCACCTCCTTCTTTCTTTTCTTCAATCTATCAAGCTTTCTCAACAATCTGACTATGACTACCTTTGATCGAGGATGAACAACAAAATCCACCCATTCAAGATAACGACAGTAGCTAGCAGTCTAAAAAAAATAAAAAAATAACTTTCAACAAACCTCATAAAATGCAGTAAAAAAGAAAATAAATATACATCTACCCCATAATTGCTCCATTGGAGAAATCTCCGCCCAGGATTACTTTCAGTCCATGAGGTTCTCATAATGGCTTCCTAACCACATCTGCATAGTGTTGAAGCCATTGCATTCGTTCTATGCTAGATGTAGAAGATTCGGCCATGAGAGGGTAACGAAAATAAATAGATGAGCTAACGTGAGGAAATCTTCAGCTAGGGCATAAGTTAAAAGGAAAAGATAGGGCAGGAGAGAGAAAATTGTGATTTTAGTTTTTTTTTTTCATTATCTGATATGGCCAGCTGATATGGTGAGTTTCTCTGTCCTGTAAATGATTTGTTAGTGTTCATGTCAGACTTCCGTTTGACACTCACCGGTAAATTGGATAGAAAGATTTTTGTGAAACACTAATTAAAATTAATATATTTTTTGTGACAAATTGAATTCTAGGTATGCAACTGAAATAGTGCCTATACTTTAGGTATGTCCGGTGAAATTAAGCCATCTCCAGGTATCGAGTTACTCCTCCAATACTTGGAGATTGGAAGCTCTTTGAAATCAAAGCATGGTCTCTGGGCTTAAAAGGAGAGGATTAGCGATAGATGCAAGGAGCAAAGAGAAAGAGGGTTAGTAGAAAGAAAAAGGCAAGAGAAAGACAAGATGAGAATATATGATATGAATTTTTTCATTTATTTAATTAAAAATGTGTCCATGTCAATAAATTACCATATCTTTGACAAAAAAACTAGCTAATAGCATTTTCTTTGGTACTCTAATAATAATTAAGGGATTTTTAAGTGATGAATTGAAGTTTAAGAATGGTAATGCGTGGGGCATATAGTTCAGGGACAACCGGTGAAAATAAGCTTATGAATTCATTACCAAAATATTTTATTTTTAGAATTAAAAAGTTTGCTTGTTATAAAAAGAAAAGAAAAAACAAAAATGCAAAATGGCGCTCAGTTCAAGCCTTCATAACCTAAACCGGGCTTAGAGCCAGAAGTTCGGGATGCAATTTCTTAGCTCCTCGAGCTCAAAGAGCCACTATATAGCAAAAGAAGACTATGAGACCTTACTTGAACACGGCTATAAAGCTCGACCCTTTTCGTCTTCTTTTCTCTCCGAATCTCCGCGGTAGAAGGATTAACCATATCAAAACAACCTTCGCGTTCCGAAACCTTCGTTTCTCAAGCGAAACCATAACTCCAAGTCGCCATCTTCTTCTGCGACGCCGTTATCGTTGCAGAGCAATGGGGACATCTTCTCCTGAAGCAGCTGTTCAAGTTCACGTTAAGGACAAAATTGAACTGACGGAGATTGAGAAGAAGATTTTTGATCGCCTTCTTAACACCCTGCGTCACTGCAATCTCAAAACTGAGCTCCGTGTTGCCGGCGGTTGGGTTCGCGACAAGGTCGGTCGCCTAATAATACACACTTATTTATACACATTGTACAGAACATTTCGTTTTTTGGACGGTTCGTATGCTTTGTGAGAAATTTTTTCGGGTTTTAGTAATTCTCAGTTGTCAGAGTTTTGGGCCTATCAAGTGTTTGATTAAAGTCCACCCTTAGGAAAGCAGAGAGAATTATGAGCGATAAGTGGGTATTTGGATTATAAAATTATTGGTTTAGTTCACTTGGGAAGAATGATTTAGTGTTAAAAAGGTGAAGAAAGGTGTTGGAACTGACTGTTGAAATTGGGGTTTCAGTATGAGCAGGTTTCATTACCATAATTTGTAGATGATGAATTTCTCTTAGATGTATCTCTGGTTACTTGAGAGTTGAGATACTGAAGTCTATGGCAGGAGGAGATAGCTTGTAAGATTGGATAGTGTCTATAATACATGTTTGCATATTCTAAGAAAGAAGCTAAAAAGACAATTGACAAATGATATCTATTTACATGTTTGCGCTCGCTCTAATTGGGGTTTGGATATGATGTTTTCTTTATTTCTCTTCATTCTTCATTAATATGTTCATGTATTATTTCCTTATAATGGTAATTTTCTCATTGGCAGATTTTAGGCAAGGATTGTTATGACATTGATATTGCTATTGACAATATGTTGGGCAGTGAGTTTGTTGATAAGGTCAGGGAGTATTTATTATCTACTGGGGAAGTGGCACAGGGTATTGGCATTATTCCACGGTAGAATTCATCTCTCCTTTGTTCTAGTCTATAAGTAATATTTCTTTGCAGATTTCATTTAGAATACAACTAACCTCACATTAAACATGAATTTATTATTTCATTGACATTTCACTGCTGTTGTTGGTTCTTTAGTTGTTTAGTTTTGTAAAAGGTTATCCCTATGTGGATGAATATAATATTCACTACAAAATTGATATGAACATTTGACTTGCCAGATGCTGAGATTCTGCAATATAAATTCAGAAAAACTTAAGATACGGTGGCAATTTCTCCAAGTAAATAATGTTAATTGTAAAAAACTTGCATTGCTTTCATCTATGCAGGGAAATTTCCCCAAGAACTATTTTAGTTGTGCATATTGATGAAGAAATAAGTTTCAGAATTTCCAGGAAGTTACTGCTCATGTTACTGTAGCATATTACTGTTTACTATACTGTAGCAATTCTCCAATTTAGGGTTAATTTATATTTTAATACTTTATGTTTTAGTTAAATTAGGCTTTGTTTAAAATAGTTAAATCCTTTAACTATTTAGTAATTCACTCTATTAGGATTTTAAGTTTAATTCATATTCTACTAGTATGTAAAATTAAAAACCTTTTTTCTAGTCAGATTTATATGCTATATGAAGGTTGTAACATGTTACATTATGACTTTAGATTTGGTGTTTTCTGGAGTTGTAACTACTATTTCTCTTTCTGATTCTTTTTTTCTTGTCCTCTGATTGGATATTCCATGCCCCCCCCCCGACTTTAGACATTTGGTGTTTTCTGAGTTGTAAATACTTTTTTCTCTTTCTGGATTTTCTTTTTTCTTGTCTCTGATTGGATATTCCCATGCCCCCCCCCCCCCCCCAAAAAAAAAAAAAAAAAAAAAAAAAAAAAAAAAAAAAAATCTGAACATTTTATGCAGCAAGTACCAAATTCATACGCTTTTTTGTTTCATTTTTCATGCTTGTTGCTTGGACTTCTTTGTAGACTAATATGTTCCGTCTTACTAATCTTAGCTTTATAAGCTTGTAATCTTATCCATGTCATTCCAAAGAAATGACATGGATAACTAGGGAACCGCTACAATAGGAAATAATGATCTACTGGCATAAGTTGAAAAACCTGCTACATGGATATCTACCTAGGGAAGGTTGAAAGCTGAAGGAAGTATAAAAGACAGAAGATCGTGATTCTTCTTCATTTATTACATTGGAGATAGGATTGTCTTGTTGAGTATGAAAGAAAGAAATAGTAGCAACCAACGGTGTGAAAGCATCTGGTAACTAATAGGTATAGATAGGTGTAATATGTTATAGCTGCATAGTAATTAAAGGCACAAGGCGCACTGGGCTGCTGGAGCCTAGGCGCTAGCCTCCAAGCGAAGGCGAGGCCTAAGTGAAGTGAGGCGCAAAAAAAAAAAAAAGGATAAAATACATAATTCGAAAAATATATTTTAAGATATCAATAAAAAAAAGAGAAAAAAGTAGAAAACATGGAAAGAAACACACATGAATCAGAAAAAATGGCAACATGACAAGTTATACTTAAGATATTAGAGTTGACAGAAAAGAGTATAATCAAAATAATGCAAAAAAAGGAAAAGAAATAGAAAGCAAATATAGGAAGAAAAATTGAAAGAGTTATATTTGGATGGAATGGGGCTAAAGACTAGATTCCAAGAGGTGACTGCTGGATGAAGGAGTGGAGGTTGGATCACAAAGCACATCTCTTTTATATTTATTTATTTATTTAAGCTGATGTTGAGGAGTGGAGGTTGGATCACAAAGCACATCTCTTTTATATTTATTTATTTATTTAAGCTGATGTTGGCTAGATAGCTTTATATTGAAAAAAAAAAAAAATCCTAGATGACTTGTTTTGGAAAACAAAAAAATAGAAAGGCGCAAAAAAGGTGCACGCCTCCACCCACAGGCGATAGCCTGAGTGAAGTTGCGCGCGGCCTGCCTCAGGACTGTTGAGGTGCAAGCCCTTGAGCCTTAAGTAAGGCGCGCCTTTAATTACTATGTATAGCTGGCAGCTATGGAGCAATAGAAAAGGGCTTATTGCTTATCAAATACGTGATTGAACTAATTTTTTTGTGTGGATGGGCAGCACGTAGAGTAGAAGACTGAAAATCCTCATGTCACTAGTTGAATTATGGTTCCTGACACGTGATAAATTTCTGTATCAGTTCTATTCTACAATTAAATTACTTCAATAAATTAGTCAATATAGATCTGATATGGACCCAGCATACATATTCACTAATAGTATAATTCCTGATATATGCTTAACTTATCCACCTAAATGTCTGTAGATATAGTCTTTTTAGATGTCAGACAATGAAAAAGTTTATCTTATAAAATGAAAAAAGATAAATATAAAAAAACAATTAGATTATGTCTCCTCTTCTTTTTATTTGATTTGTTCATAATGTGTCTCCTCTCATTCAGAAAGAATGTTAGTACTTCATAGTTGACCAATATGGTTCTATTCTTGCAGCAATCCTGACCAGTCCAAGCACTTAGAAACTGCAAGGATGCGCCTTTTTGATTTATGGATAGATTTTGTAAACTTAAGGTGTGAAGAGTATAGTGAAGGCAGTCGTATTCCTACAATGGTGAACTTCTAACTTAGCATCTACTTGTCTAATAATTTTTTAGTTCCATGTTCATGGAGTGTGTTCTGTTTGTTAAGTTCTTAAAAATGCTAAATTTAGTTGCATATGATGGGAACAATTTTTGCAGTTAACCATAGAAACAATCTCTGGTTAAAACAACTTCAAGTGATAGTCTTAGGTTAGAGCCATGCGTTGAGTAGCCTTTTCTGATTTACTTATTAAACCATCAGTTGAATTTGATTTCTTCTATTGCGATTTAGCTGAATATGTAATTTATTTAGGACATAAAATTTACTTGTTTAATCTGCATTGAGTTTGCAACAGAAATTTGGCACAGCAAAAGAGGATGCTTTTAGAAGAGATTTAACCATTAACAGGTATCTTCCTCTTTAAATGATTAAATTGGTGCACTCTCTGTACGCTGTTCATGATAACTATATATTTGTTGTTGGACTAACGTATGGCATTAACATTTCATTTTATGTCAGCTTGTTCTACAATATTAATACCAGTTCAGTTGAGGACTTTACTGAAAGAGGTTAAGATAGGCTTTTTATGCTGTTCTCTTTCTTTTGCTGTCAAGTAAATTTGTTACGTCCTTTGTATAAAGCTTTCTCACTTATATTACCTTCTCTTTCTTTCATTGCAGGCATTGAAGATCTAAAGTCTGGAAAAATAGTTACTCCCTTACCTCCAAAAGCTACTTTTTTGGATGATCCGCTTAGAGTTCTTCGAGCTATTCGATTTGGTCCTTACCTCCAAAAGCTACTTTTTTGGATGATCCGCTTAGAGTTCTTCGAGCTATTCGATTTGGTACTTCTGAATTTAGATTTTATTTGATTGTGTTGGGAATTTCAATTTTCTTTTTCCTTTTGGTGAGATTTGACTACACATAATTTTTTGGATAACACATGCAAGTTTCTAGCTCAGCATGTCTTGAAATAGCTCAGTATCAAAACTTGTATTTTTTTGTATATCTATTTTGTTTTCTTAGTGTCATGTAATGTCTTTAAGAAGTATTCGGGTTTTATCCTTTCAATTGAATTATAAATTTACTATGAAATAAAACTCTACCAAACAATTAGAACTCATGTTGGTCCTTGGATAGGTGAAACATGTTGAACTCTGTAAGTCTTCTAGGGCTTCATTTTAAACAACTACCAACTAATAACAGCAGTAATTAAGAAGTAACATCAAACTCAAGTGATTGATCATTGCTCTGAAATTGCTATGCATATATAGGCA